CAACTCACATAGGACTCGATGTAGAACTTGGTGCCGGATCCGTCAGCCATCTCCAGCAGGTTTTGGTCCAGGCACTCGTCCGTGATGATCTTGGAGGGGTCGTTGTTCACGCAGAGGCGGAACTCGAAGTAGCCCAAGTGGCTCTTGGTCAGCTCCACCTCGATGGTTAGTTCCTTGAAGGGGGACGGGGTGGGGGGGGAGAGAGAGAAGAAGAGGGGGGTGAGTTGGTGTGTTTTATTTTTGTGGATTTTGTGTGTGTGTGTGTGTGTGTGGACGGGGGTAGGGGTTCCGATGCTGTTTTTTTTTTTTTTTTTTTTTGTAGTGGGGGTTATTTTTACTTTTTTCTGTGATTATGTGAATAGTTGGGTTATTTTCGCTTTTCAGTTGTATTAAAAATATATATATTTCAGGTATTAAATTTTATTCGTTAATTTAAGTTGTTGCATTGCAAGGGAATAATGTTCATCCAATTTTTTGACGTCTAACACATATCCATGTAATGTTATGGTGAAAAATCTATTATGTACATAAATCCGACGCTTGTTAAGTGTGAAATTTCCTTCCTCTTCTAATTATGTATTTGCTTTTTCTTGTAATCATTGAAAACGTTCCTCAAGTGAGCAGCACTTTATCTATGGCGGTCAGAACGACCGCCATAGATAAAGTGTTGCTTACCTGTTCTCTGGTCTACTTGACGTTGTAGTTATCAAAAACTTTCCCTTTGTAACATTTTATTTTACTTAATTTATAGAGGTGTTTCTAGCAGTGCCTGTCCTCTAATGCAATTGGTTACTGTAGTCATTGGCATCATCATAAACGAAGTTAGTGAGCAACACTATATTTTTACAGGTGTTTCTAGCAGTGCCTACCTGCCCCTTGGTGTAGTTGGCAACGATGAGCCCCGTCCCGTACGTTCCTCCAGCCTCGTTGTCGCGGGGTTGCGGGTCGGCCCAGTTGTCGCCGCAGACGCCGCACTTACCGTCGTTCTCGCCGTACTGGATCTGCAAGAGGAGGTTCGTTTTGGTTCGTTAGGTTCGCGGGGAATAAAGACGGATCTTTTTTTTCTGTTTCATTGTCTCTGTTTGTCGCATTATTGTTTTCTTTCTCTTTTTCTGTGTTTCTCTCTCATTGGCGTTCTCTGTCTCTTCTCTCTCTCTCTATTTATCTATCTACTATCTATCTATCTATCTCCTCTCTCCCTCCCTCTATCTCTCTATCTATCTATCTATCTATCTCTATCGCTCTCTCTATCTCTATCTATCTATCTCTCTCTCTCTTTATTTCCTTCCTTTT